ATGCAGGTATGCGTTCAACCTCGGCGAGGCGACTGCGTAGTGTACCCTTAGCCAGAAGGGTGTCTGCGTGGACCGCCGTTACGGCACTGAGCAGGATCTGTGGCGGCGCGTTCAGAAATCCTGTGCGTCGGAATTCGCCGGGTGATGACTTCCCCATATCGTACTGCACGACTCCGCCAAATGGACCATGCGGCTTGCTAACCACGATGTCTCCTAGTCGAACATCTGCATTTGCGCTCGGTACACCTCCGCCTATTCCTACCATCAGTCCGAAACGTATTCCTCTAAATTTCGCCTGCATCTGTGTTGCCACAGCTGCAGCTGGGTTCGTCCCGAAATGACCTGGCAGGCACACAATCACGACCTTGTGGCCTGCCACCAACCCCGTACAGTAGATGTTGTCGTCGTCCTGATCGACATCGCCCTCGGCGTCTTCGTATTCTTCGTCTAGCATCGCCTGCGCTGCTGCGAGTTCGACAGGCAATGCGCATACCCATCCCACGGTGTATTCATCGCGACGAGGCTGACGGGGCATCTGGGCGCGTTGCGGCCGGGCTAGGCTGACTGGAAGGCATGCGATCGTTTTCTGTCACGACAGGCGTAAGGAGGATAGTTGGGTAAGTAGGGTGAGCGTTGTAGATGCTGCGACAGCGCTTCTCTCGAGGGACGTTGATTAACCTGGTCAAGGCAGTCGCCATCAAAAGTGGGAGGGCAGGCGTTCGTGCCACCCCAGCCGGCTCATGAGGATGCGCCACATGAGTTGTCTATTGGCTAGCCTCACCCACCACGCGCATGCCTCTTTAGCTTTGTCGATTGGATGAGACGTTTTCTACCATGCTCGCTGATGATTTCTCCGTTTTCGCGAGTCTTCTGAATGTTCGGATCCAGTAAGTAGAGCAACTCGGTCGCCTGCGTCTTCGATACATGGTCACGAGCTGGATGTCACCTCTTACAGATGGAGCGCATCACCTGTGTTCAGTTTGGTAAGGCAAGTCGTTACGTTCAGCCTAGCTCGACCTAACTTTCGTTCAGCCTCGGGTGCTTGGAACACAAGTATAAAACGATTAGATGAATGCGTCGAGGTAAGATATTCTGCATAATTAGTTCAGCAAGCATATGGCTAATACTACTCCAGGCTTTAGGCACTTTATCACCACAATACCTGTTGAGATCACCTTTCTCTGCAACTATCTTGAGACTGACTCTCGCATAGATTGATGCATCATGATCCTTTCTCGACCGGCAAAGAGCTGGCGCCGGACCTTCTTCGATTATTTCAAGTCCCGCAATATCTTCTTTCGGAAGGGACTCGACGTTCTAATGGGTTCTATGACCACAAGGAGACTTTTGATTCCGACGGCCACTTGCAGGCAGGGTGTCAGTGCATCGGATACTCGACGAGGAACCAAAACTTACCTGTACTCCAGACATATGGTTCCGCACGCTAATCAAGACAGCCAACATGAATGGAAAGTTGAGCTACAAGTGGCATGAGATGACCTTTCTTTGCCGATGGGATGCTCAATGTAGCGTTACACTATGCATAGGTGTAGATGTTGCGTTCCAGAACCATCTCCAGCAAGCTCTACACAACATATGGCCTGAAGTGCAAGCGTCCCGGAATTTCTCGCTATTGATACCACTCGCCGAGGCTATCGTCACAATGTACGACATATCAGTATGGTCTATACGAGATATCGTAAGGCAAGCAGAGAAGGTGAGTACTTCTGAGGTACGAATGAGCACTGAACTAATTGACGTGTTCATCATAGGATCGTTCGCGCCCAACACGAGATGCCAGTCATTTCACTCTCTTGCACGAAACAGCGAGACACGCCATCCACTCCTCTGAGACCCTTAATGTGTCTGTAGAGACACTAAAGGCCATGCAGCAGCACGCTTCTGGCTGTCCAGACACGATGTCGAGTACAGACGCAATCGGGAAGAAATCTGCTGAGTATTCTATGAAGCACCTGAGCTTCCAGCTTCGCATGCTGCAGAATCTACTCCTCCGGTCACAATCGAACAAAGAGCGACTGCAGAATGAAATTGCTCTTGTAAGCCACACACGCGTATTGTGACAGACACTGCTTATGTTTCTAGGCATACAACATGATTGCGCAACGAGATGGTCAGATAATGACAGGTTTGGGAGAGGCAGCGAAGCATGACAGCGGCGCAATGAGAACAATCTCGGTGGTGTCCATGGCCTTTTTACCTCCGACTTTTCTCTCAGTGGGTACCTAGATACTGAGCATTCCACGTACAAAGACTGACGATGCACAGGCCGTGTTCAGTATGAGCTTTTTTGACTTCGTGCCTGGCCAAGATGGTCAAAAAGGGCAATGGCTAGTGTCAGAGCAGTTCTGGATCTACTGGGCTTTCGCAATACCACTGACCTGCCTCACGATAGGAATTTGGGCGACGCGAAAAAAGTGGAGTAGAGTACATAAGTAAAGAGGCCGAGTACGAAGCGTAAATACGGACTAAGCTCAGCTTGCCAAAAAGGGTGGTGATGATGACATGCATCCATGGATGGATTCACCCCGCTCACATCCGTGGATGCTTATCGATAGACCTTCCCCTCTCTCAACTAGCAACAAGGTAGCTACACAACATCACAACCAGACTCGTCCTCTGAACTTCGATTCATGCAGAATTGCTCGTGAAACCTATTCAATCCCATCTCCCAGGTCCACATAAACCATGCCACACGCGACCGCAACCGTAAACGGCATCCTAGTAGCCGAGACCGACTCCTACGAAGTCGTCGACGGAAACATCTACGTAACCAACCCTTCTCCTTTCTTGCCCATCAAAAGCCCCTTAAATCCATCTGATCCATGCCAGTTCCCACCCGGCACCATCAAGAGCAACCACTTCAGCCCCACTTCAACTAAGACGCACTGTCCATACAAGGGAGACGCAAGCTACTACACCGTCACAGCCAACAAGACGGAAGTGAAAGATGCAGCGTGGTACTACCCGGAGCCGTTGGAAAGCATGAGTAAGATCAAGGGGTATGTTGCTTTCTACAAGGGAAAAGCTGAGGTGAAGAGTGAATAGACGAAAGACAAAGTAATATGGTGGTCATGGGGTTACGTGTGGATATGGGTATATTCAGTATCAATTGAACTCCCAAGAAACAAAATGCAAATGTTCCTGTCTAGTAACGCCGATTAAATGCTCATCATCATAACATCTGGACTGGCTGTTCCGAGATCATGCATCAACAGCCATCATCATCGTGTCATCGCCATCGATGCCTACAGCCGGCGGCTCGATCATAACACCCCGCCCTCTTCCTTGAAGCAACTCCCTCCGTACCTCTACGCTGATGCTCCTGTGACCTCTTGTGAGCAGCAAGTCGAGCAGTGCCTCTCGTTGGTCCTCGGTGATGTCGTTCCTGTATCTTTGCGCAAAGGCAAGCAAGCACTGATGCCAGATGACGGGCAGTTTGCCTGTGTTGCCGAGGTCGCCTGCTACAGACTCCGTGTCCATGGCGTCGGCACTGCTGGCACCCACACCGCGGAAGCGCAGGAAGTGGAAGACGAGCGCGTCGATGACCTTGAAGGGGAGGGCGTACTTCTTCTCGAGCAGGGTCTTGATGAAGATGTTGCAGGGGCCGGCGGCATCGGGGTCGGATGACATTTGCTCGGCGGCGATTTCACACAGACGGTGGAGGGCGGCGGCGGAGTGTAGGACGGGGACGGAGACCTTGGCTACAACAGATGCTACAATCGTGGCGTCGCGCTGGGTGCAAGTGACGTCCGTGAGCATAGGGAATACGACACCCTTGAAGAAGGCGCTGGGCTTGTAGAGCGCCTTCTTCAGCGCGTTGTACAGATGCACATTGAGCTTGTGTGTCTCCCGGATGTTCTGTTGTACCAAAGGTAGCAGTATGGTGTTGAGGAAGGTCTGCGCCGTTCGCGGGTCTCTGGAGATGAAGATTCGGGTCGCAGCGAAGGTGGCGTTCGGTGTCCAGTCGTCAGGACGTGTGATGGCGACAAGCGTTTCCCAGGCGGGGATCGTGGGCAGGATCTTGAAGGGCTTGGGCAGCTTGCCGCTCTTGTAGCGGCTGAGAATTAATCCAATCTTTGAGTATACTGTGCAGGCTTAGTAGAGTTACGAGCTTTTGTAGTGAGGATGTTGTACCTTCGACGACCTTTGCTGGTAGTTCGATTGCGTCTTCTGGAGCACCACCGCCTTGAATTTCTGGTTGCTGTACTTCGCCTCCGGCTTCATGCGCAGCGATCTTCTCGAGGATGAGCGCTGCGAGATCTGTGCCGGGACCTGACTGTTGCGCTTCCTCGCCAGGCCATACGATGGGGTTGTCGTCTGTTGGTATGAACTTGTTCCACGCCGCCAGATCGTTCGCATCGATCTCGACCTCTTCCACCTCCTCATCGTCCTCGCCCCATGCTTCGTCGTCATCTTCGCCTTGGATCAAATCCTCTCCTGGCATGTCATCCTCTCCCATGCGTGTCTCAAAGTCGAAGGCTGGGTTGGCTTCTTGCGGTCGCCGGACCTTGTTCTCTCTCGCATCCTCCTCTTCTAGCTCTCTTCCAATTTCTAAGATTTTGCGCGAGCTCTTGGAGTCTACGTATTTCTGCTCGTCGTCTTCCTTGTCGCTCTTGTTTCGCTTTTGTCGCTTCGGCGCCTTGTTCTTCCACGGGTCGGAGGGCGCATATTCTTCGGCTAGAGGGTTGTGTCGCTGATCGCGCACACCAGGCGATTTGGGTGCTTTCGGCATGGTGGGTATGTGGTCGCGAGCGGAGGATCAGAAGAGGCGCAACGTCTTTTTCTGAAGTTTTAGTGTGATCGTGGGTGTATTACAGACGCTTTTCAGAGTTGGCGGCAGTGAGTAGTAAAAGTTCGAGAACGGGATAAATTTTGGTGGGGTCTGCCTAGCGCCGCAACTTGCATGTCCAGGGTCGTGCCTTCCAACATAGCTACAAGCAGCTGTCGCGCTTTCCACTCCAGCTACATCAACCCTCAACATGGCCGACTCACACCCCCCTTCGCGTTCCAATACACCCACACTCGTGCCTCCAATGCGGCGGCCACTCGAAGGAGACAATGCGCCCGCTGTCTCGTCTCCGCTCAACCCCAATCCGGATGCGGCAGCGCGTGCCAGACCGAAAGCTCCCGCGCGCGAGCAGAGAGAGAAGCGCGAGACGATCAAGAAACGCGAAGCTTCAGCGTCGACGCGCCAGGCCACTCCGAGCGCAAAGTCTAGCAAGAAAGAGCGTCCCTCAGCCGACTCACCCATGCGATATTCCATCCCCGAGCCCAGACCCTCCGACTACGAAGCGCCAAAGGACAGCACGCTGGTGTCACATGAGCCGAACCCTATGTATGCGCCTGATGGCATTACCGAGCTGAAGAAGCCACACGATATCGCCTGGAACAAGAAGGGCTACAAGTACACCCACTGTGTCGCCGACCCGCTCTTCCGTCACAAGCAATACTACAGGCAGAGCGACTCCAGGCCGTATGGACCGCGAATGAGCCACGAGGACTGCGACAGATGGTTTCATTTTGATAACAGCGCGACAATCGTATCCCAGGAGAAGGGCTGGCGCATGGGACGCGGGAACGTAGTCGCGAGAGAAGGCAGGATATACTATGAGGTCAAGGTGCTCAGAGGCATACCCAAAGACGGCCCAAAGGATCCTATTGACCCTAAGACGGGAGAGACGAAACCGGGTCCCCACGTGAGAATGGGTTGGGCAAGGAGGGAAGCGCCGTTGGACGGACCCGTGGGCTTCGACGGCTACAGCTACGGCATCACCGACGCGCGCTTCGAGGCGCAACATCGATCGCGCGCCTCCAAGATCTTCAAGCCGCTCCCCAAGAACGCAAAGAGCAAGCACATGAAGGCCAGGCCCCCGCATGGCAAGCCAATGCCTGTTGAATATGTTATAGATCAGCATGTTCAAGAAGGCGATGTTATTGGGCTTGAGATTCAGCTGCCGTCGCTCTCAATGCATCGCAAGGTCGTCGAAGGCATCTACAACCCGGCCGTCGATCTAGGAGATGGTTTCGACACCGTCAGCAATCAAGACCCATTCGACCGCCCCATCGACATCATCCGTGATCGCATACCCGTGCCCTACAAAGGCAACTTCTACTTCGAGCAGCTCGACTACCAAGTTACAAAGATGGTGGAGGCCTATCACGACCGCGGTCCGGTGCCCAAGATACACCCCTCGCCGAATCACGAAGACGTCAGTGTACGATCGCTACCACACTCGCATATCAAAGTCTACAAGAATGGTGAGGAGGTTGGCATCGCTTTCGAGAATCTCCTAGCCTTCCTCCCTCCTGCTAGTATACCCTCGGTCGAAGCTATCAAAGCTGGTGCGCGAACAGGCTTTGATGACGGCATGGTAGGATATCTGCCAGCCATCTCACTGTTCAACGGTGGTGTTGCCCAAGTCAACTTCGGTCCTGACTTCTGGTGTCCACCCGAAGAGATGGTACAGCAGCGCGAAAAGGATACTCAGATGGTCGACGGCGATACAACCGAGCAGCAGATTCCAGATGGCCGTAAACTGCGGGCTATTGGCGAGCGATACAAGGAGCAGATTGCCGAGGACGTCGTCTGGGACATCATCGATGAGGTCGACTTCTTCTCCCAGGACGGAGGATGGGAGTACAAGGGCGAGGCTCCTCAGGACGTGGCAGGCAAGTCCACGCCTAGGGCGCGTGGCTTTGCAAACGCGGATGAGAATATTGGTGTTGAGGTGGCCAAGCGATACTAATGAAGAACAAAAGTCGTTCTGGTGTTCAGTGGATTGTAATCATAGCGAGGCGTATAGGTATACCCGTTATCAATGATTGATATGCATCTCTCGACGTTTTATCTGTCGCCATTTCCGAATTGTCAACTTCTCCTGTCTGCTCCGATGCGATCGCCACGTTTGCCCCTTTGGTCTATTCGACAGATGACAGCCTTCGTCTACGGCACTTCGGCTTCTTGCTGCACCGAATGGCCGCCTAATTGTGTCACGTATAGCTACACCTTAACAAGAAATTTCGCGCCCTACGCCCTACGCGGTTTTACAAGTATTCGCATCAATTCCGCCCACAAACGTACTCTGCCAAAGAAGGTAATTAGCGCGGAATTAGCGACATCGGACATGCGTTTAAAACTAGCGCAACGTACCCGTTTACGCCAACATTGAATATATACCCACGTATCCTAAGACACTTGTCCACACTTATAAACCATTGTCTGGAGAGGTAACTTGCCCTCCTCTTGTCCTCTTGCACACATTACTCCTCATACCACTACCCCGCCATGGATTCTTCACAATTCCGCGAAGCGGCCAAAGGAGCCATTGACGAGAGTACGTACTCCCAATCTCCCCTGATAGAAGCGTAAATTGACCTACTCTCAAGTCGCAACCTACTACGACACCCTCGAGGAACGCCCCGTGCTCCCCTCCGTCAAACCAGGCTACCTGCGCCCGCTACTCCCCGCCTCGACACCTGAAGAAGGCGAAGCATGGGAGACCATTCAAGCAGACATCGACCGTGTCATCATGCCAGGCCTAACCCACTGGCAAAGCCCCAAATTCATGGCCTTCTTCCCGTGCAACTCGTCCTTCGAAGCCATGATAGGCGACATGTACAGCGGGGCCTTCAACGCCGCAGCCTTCAACTGGATCTGCTCGCCCGCGATTACAGAGCTAGAAACCGTTGTCATGGACTGGATCGCCAAGCTCATCGCACTGCCGAACGACTTCCTCAGTGACGGCGAGGGCGGAGGCATCATCCAAGGTACCGCCAGTGAAGTCGTACTAACCGCCCTCGTTGCCGCCCGCGAACGCCTCATCCGCCGTAAACTAGGCGATATGCCAGAAGGCGAAGAGAGGATGGACAAAGCAGCTGATATCCGGGGTAAGCTCGTTGCTTTGGGCTCCGAACACGCGCATTCGAGTACGCAGAAAGCGGCTGTGATCGCAGGAACCAGATACCGCAGTGTTCCCGCATCCAAGGAATCCAACTACAGCGTCACGGCCTCTGCGCTGCGTAAAACCATCGAAGAGTGCCGTGCAAAGGGGCTGGAACCGTTTTACTTCACCGTCACGATTGGTAGCACGGGGACGTGCGCTACCGACGACTTGGAAGGTATCGCGGCGCTCGCGAAAGAGTTTCCTGACCTCTGGATTCATGTCGATGCCGCGTATGCGGGCTCTGCGCTCGTGTGTCCCGAGTATCAGCATTTGTGCAAGCCGATTGCGGCGTTTGACTCGTTCAACTTCAATTTGCACAAGTGGCTGTTGGTCAACTTTGATTGCTCGGCGTTTTTTGTCAAGAAGAGGAGGGATTTGATGGATACGTATAGTATTACGCCTAGTTACCTGCGCAACCCTCATTCTGAACAAGGTCTTGTTACGGACTACAGGGATTGGCAGATCCCGCTCGGTCGGAGGTTTAGGAGTCTGAAGGTTTGGTTTGTGTTGAGGAGTTATGGGGTTAACGGTCTGAGGCAGTTCATCAGGAAGCACATCAAGTTGGGAGAGTACTTCCATGAGCTCCTGCTTTCGAAGCCGGATTTGTTCAGCGTAACTACGGAACCGGCGTTTGGACTCGTCACATTCCAGGTTAAGCCGAACATGGCTTCGGGGGCGGCGAAAGCGGCAAATCAGGCGGACCCGTCGCACGAGGCACTGCAGAATGACTTCCATACTGATGCCGAGGCGCAGTACAAAGAGATGGTTAATCAGAAGACGAAGGAGGTTTACGAGAAGATTAACAGCAAGGGCGATTTCTTCCTGACAAGCACGGTTGTGGGTGGATTGTATGTTATCAGGGTTGTCAGTGCGACGATCAAGAGCGAGGAGAAGTGGATGAAGCAGATATTTGATGAGTTGGTGGAGGCTGCGGGAGGCAAGGGCGATGATAAGGCGGCTTGAGTGTAGCTTGTGTTAATCTTATGCTATCATTCCCCCTTCATTCCCTCCACATGCGATACAAAGCCATGGGTTTTATAGAGATTGAAAGAACATATACACAACGCAGCACCGTATCTACCATGTGCATGCCACCAGGGGGTCTACATGAGCGCTTCGCTACGTACTCTGCGGCCTAGAAGTATCTTGTTGGAGCCAGGCCTATCCGAGAGTTCACGAACGTGGCAGCGTTGATTCAACGTAGGAGGGAAAGGCGCCATGAATCCCTAGGGGTCACGGCATCCACGGAGACCTCAGTGCGATGAGCAAGGACGTCAGACACTTAGAACATGGGAAATAGAAATGGGAATGTAAAGTAGACAAACATGACATGGGGATCCAGATATCATTGCATGAATTTGAAGTGCTATGATCAGTCCAACCGTAATATCCGCACCGCATTCCCACCAAGAACATCCTTCGCTTTCTTGTCATCCGTCGAAAAGGCTTTCGAGATAGCCCCATAGTTTGCGTTGACACTGTGCCACTCCTTCGCGTCTTCTTCCAGCGGTGGGAAGAATGGGTGATCAGTGCCTGCTACTGTTAGCTCCTAGTCTCACATATACGTGTAGTGATGCTTACCAAACAATAACCGATCAGACCCTGATGCATCAAGGGCTGCCTTCAATCCCACTTCCGAGTAAATGACAGCATCCAGGTAGATGTTTGTCTTCAGGATATCCCATACATCCCTCCTGTTCTGTGTCTTGCCATGCTTCTTCAAATGTCCATCATGCAAGATGCACGACTCGATGCGACCTGCGAGGAACGGTAGTGTACCTCCAGAATGTGCCAGTAGTACGCTGAGCTTTGTGAACCGATCCCAAACGCCGCTCAACAACATTCTCGTCACCGCGATGGTTGTCTCCAATGGGAAGCCGAGCGCTAGTGGTAGGACGTGTCCGTATTCGCTCGCTCGCGGTCCATAGACGGATGTAGGTAGACCGTAGTGTGGGTGGAGGAAGATGAGTTGTTGGTGCTTCTCCAATGCTGCGTATACAGGATCGAGGTTCTCATCGTCTAGACCTTGCCCAAGGCCTGAGGTTCCCATGATGACACCACGCGCATACTTGAGTGTGCTTAGTCGTTCGATCTCGGCGGTTATGACTTCGGGCGATGCGGAAAGTGGGAGGGTGCCGAAGAAGTACAATCGGCCGGGATACTGGGAGCACTGGTCATTGACATCGTCGTTGATCTTCTTCGCGGCTTCGCCTGCTTCCTCTGCGGGAACGAAGTCTAGCCAAGGGTTTGCTAACGAGATGACGGATTTGTCAATCTTGTGCAGGTCCATAAAGGCTATCTTTTCTTTAATCTCGTAGTATTCGGAGCCAATTGGGCGGCCGCGGGAGGTTGACGGTGTTGAAGGGTCATCTTCTCCGGGAAGGATGATGAGACGAGCTGAGTCTGGTGCATCGGGGAATGTTCGAACGTATGGTACGGTTGTTCGTGAGCGTAGTAGCTCCATGTATTTGGGAGGGTAAACATGGGTGTGGACGTCTACGATTGTCATGCTGGCGGATGGGGACGCGTTTTACGCGTCAACGTATGAGTGGAAGGTGCTGTGGTGGTGTATTGACACTTCAAACGCGCTATTGGGAGTGAAAGAGAAGCCAAAGAATTGTTAGGCCGCTTGATCTGACAGACGAGACGTATCGTGGATGTTTTGACCCTGGTGGGGTAGCTCGAATTGCCCCACTACCGGGCGTCCAGCATCCCACCTTCCCCAAGCGGCAAGAAGCTATGGAGCCGTTGACGGAGATGGCCGCGATGAATATGTGTCACTTTGATATGTCGAAATGTTTTGTTACGTACTGTATTCGGCACGAGTTTAGATGGTCAGTGGGACTGCGGCTGATCAAGCCCATGTCCTCAAGAAGACGTTCGGCGGCTTGTCCCAGGTCTCGAACTCTGCGTCCACCTCCCACGGGATATCTCCTGTACCCTCATCCTTGAATCCCAATCTCCTGTACACGGGTCTTCCCATAGTGCTTCCTTCTGTTGTGCACTCCAAGTTGCCCCTCTTCTTTGCCTCTTCAAGGCCGACCTCAACTAGCTTAGCAGCAATGCCGCGACGCTGGTATGCTGGATCAACAGCACAACAGTCCAGTGTGAAGATAGCGGGCGGATTGCGACCTGATTTCTCGACCTCTCGCATGTATGCGATACGTCGTTTCCATAGTGAGTTGAACATTTGTGTTGCAAACCGCCGTTTCAGGTCGTCGTAATCAGTGAGAGCTTCCTCCATGTCGCCGTAGAACGGGTCGCCGTAGCCCTCCACGAACGATAGCTGCTTCCAGATGGCTATCCCAGCGACTCGTCTTTCGCCCTGCTTATCCGGATCAGGCACGGTAGCCTTGAGATAGAGGGCATTGGGTTGTCCGTCTTTGTTGGTGGTGATGGACTGCCATCTCTTCATCAGGATCTGAGCTTGCTTCGCCTGCCCTTCTTCCGTGTCCCAGCCGGGTGTCATCAGTTGCCATAGGGCATCTTTTGCTTGGTGACCGAAGGCTTCGGAAAGACAATGCTGCGCTTGCCTAAAGTCTCGTTCCGTCTCGCAAGGAGAAACAATGACGTCGTTGCTCGCGGCCATATTGAAAGTAAACCGAAGTGGTATAAGTGCAGGTGTACCTTACGGGGAGTATGTCGGGGGAGACAGGGAATTTATGTATGAGGTTAGTAGGATCGAATGACTAAAGACCCATAAAACGCCATCGCCTACAAGTCTCGCGGACAACTCTGCTGATGCCTAGCTCTTGGCATAGCATCCCAATGTGGTATCGCATCCTGATGAAGAAGACGAGTGT